TATTTTCTGTTTACCTTTACCTACTTGTTCTGATTTGTCTTTTACCAATTTAAAAGACCCATAATATTTGGATACTTTCATCTGTCCCTTCAATCTTATAATTCACGTGAAACACACACACACACACACACACACACATTTGTGTACATACATGACTGAATTTTCTCCTCAACTTGGGAATCTTTGGCCAACCACTCAGCATTTTATTAAATTATTTGGGTTATGTTTTTATTACTATGACTTAGTAGTTTAAAAGTAGTATTGTGTTCACTATATTAGATAAAAATTTACAATAAAATTAAAGCATTAGGGAGGTTGGAGAGAAATTGAAACCTCGTGACTGCTGGGATTATGAAAATGTCCAACCACGTGGGAAACAGTACAGTGACCCTTCAAAATATGAAAGATAAGCTGGGTGTTGGGCGCTGTGGTGCATGCCTGTAATCCCAGTGACTTGGGAGGCTGAGGCAGGAGGATAGCAAGGTCAAGGCCAGCCTGTGCAACTCAGCAAGAGCTTATCTCAAAATGAAATAAAAAGGTCTGGGGATGTTACCAGTGGTAGAGCTCTCCTGGGTTCAATCTCCCAGTAGTATCACAAAAAAAAAAAATTAAATTAAAAATTTCAAAATATACATACGTATGTTAAAGATAGAAATAACATATGAACTAGTAATCCCACTTCTGGGTATGTATCCAAATGAACTGAAATCAGGATTATGAAGAGCTATTTTCACTCCACTGTTCATTAAGCACTGCTGGCAATAGCTAAATATGGAAGCAAATGAACTGTCTTGGCTGATGCCCGGATAAACAAAATACAGTACACACATGCAATGGACTATTATGCAGTCTTAAAAAGGAAGGAATCCTGTCATATCTACAACATGGATAAACTGAAGACAGAATATTAAGTGAAATGAGCCAGTCACATACAAAAAAGTACTGTATGATCCCACTATAAGAGGGTTTCTGGGGCTGGGGCTCAGCAGTAGAGGGCCCGCCTAGCACGTTCGAGGCCCTGGGTTCGATCCTCAGCACCACATAAAAAAATAAACAAATAAAATAAAGCTATTGTATCCAACTACAACTAAAAACCATTTTTTTAAAAAAAGAGGTGTTTCTGAACTTGGAATGGAACCACCATTTGACCCAGTTATTCCACTCCTGGGTTTATACCCAAAGGACCTAAAATTGGCATACTACATGACACAGCTACATCAATGTTTAGAGCAGCTCGACTCACAATAGCTAAACTGTGGAACCACCCTAGGTGCCCTTCAGTAGATGAATGAATAAAGAAAATATGGCATATATACACAATGGAATATTACTCAACATTAAAAAAGAATGAAATTATGGCATTTTCAAGTAAATGGATGGAGTTGGAGAATATCATGCGAAGCCAAAGAAGCCAATCCCAAAAAACCAAAGGCCATATGTTCTCTCCGATGAGTGTATGCTGATCCCTAACAGAGGGGTGGTGGAATGAAGGAACTTTGGATCATGCAGAGAGGAGTGAGGGGAGGCGAGAGTGTGTGGAGATGGGAAGGACGGTGGAATGAGATGGACATTAGTACCCTATATCCTTGCACGATTGGACTACTGGTGTGACTCTACACCATGATCAGCCAGAAGGAGAAGTTGGGCTGCATTTGTGTACAATGTGTCAAATGCATTCTACTGTCATATACAACTAATTAGAACAAATAAAAAAAGAGGTGTTTCTGCTTCAAACTCATAGAGACAGAAAGTATGGTGGAGATTGCCCAGGAATGTGTGGAAGTGGAATTAGAGAGTTGCCATTTAATGGGTACAATTTCAGTTTGGGGAGATGAAAAAAATTCTGGAGATTTGTTGTATAACAGTGTGAATATGCTTCACATTGAACTCTATTCTCTCTCTCTTATTTATCTATTTATTTACTTTTGTGCCAGGGGTAGGACCCAGGGGCGCTTAACCACTGAGGCACATCCACAGCCCCTTTTGTATTTTATTTTGAGACAGGGTCTCCTGAGTTGCTTAGGGCCTCACTAAGTTACTGAGACTGGCTTTGAACTTATGATCCTCCTACCTCAGCCTCCTGAGCTGCTGGGATTACAGGCGTGAGCTGCTGCACCCGGCTCGGCTCGATCTCTACTCTTAAAAATGGTTAAAATGGGGGCTAGGGTTGTGGCTCAGTGGTAGAGCACTTGCCTAGCATGTGAGAGGCACTGGGTTCGATTCTCAGCACCATATACAAATAAATGAAAAAATAAAGGTCCATTGACATCTAAAAAATTTTTTAAATGGTTAAAATGATAAAGTTTATGTTTTTTGTTTTCTCCACAATTAAAAATATTTTTTTTTCCATATGTGAAGGTGCACATCAGTAATTGCAACATCTCAGGAGGCTGAGGTGGGAGGCCTGCATCTGGGTTCAAGGCCAACTTGCGCAACTTTACTGTGCCTGTGGCAAAATGGAAAGGGCGGGGTGTGGCTTGGTGGCACCATGCTCACCTACTGTGTGTGAGGCCCTAGGTTCAGATTCCAGTATTGCAGGCTCTAAAAGTGGAATGAGTTCTTAGAAAATGGGGATCTCTTAATTTCCTCGGGTTGGAGGAATTCATGCTCTTGACCAAGCTAGGCATTTTATATTTGCTACTTTCTTTAATTCCTACCACAGGTTAATGTGGAAGGCCACCTCTGGATTGAGGGCTCCAGTCAGTGCCTCCTGAGGGGAGCTCCCTGTCTTCTTGAAAACCTTTAAAGTGAGTGCTCCCCATTTCCTCCAACTGACCATAAGTTCCTTGGTGACCGGCCACAGGTTTCTTGACCTGCTAGAGGACTCAAGTTCAATGCTGGACACATGGTGTTAGTGGTTAGCAAACACTAGAGAATCAGCTGATTTTTTTTGTAAACTTTTCAAAGTGCCAAAGTGGATTTTCACAGGAATCCCAGTAATCCCAGCGGTTTGGGAGGCTGAGGCAGGAGGATCACAAGTTCAAAGCCAGCCTCAGCAACTTAGTGAGTCCATAAGCAACTCAGCGAGACCCTGTTTCTAAATAAAATATAAAAGGGGCTGTGGATGTGGCTCAGTGGTTAAGTGCCCCTGGGTTCCACCCCTGGTACAAAAACAAACAAACAATTGGAGCACTTTTTAGCTCCCAAAGCCCTTTCATATACAGTGGCCTGTTTGCTCCTGGTGGAGTCCCCGGTGAAAGAGATCATTATCATCTCCATTTTTCAGATGAGGAAAGCTAAGCCCAGAGGGACATGTCCAAGTTCGCACAACCCAAACTGCAATTACTGGAGGCACATCCCAGACTCTGGTGTCCGAGCAGGGTGGGATCCCTGGCTCTCTCTGGGGTCTGGGTCTAACCCCTGCTGTGCTCACCTGCAGCCTTGGTCCCTCCCAGATAAACACAGGACAGTCCTGAAGGCAGGAGGCACCTTTCTTGGGACTCTAGTTGCCGCTCTGAACACTAAGTCAAGTGCCGGGTGCCAGTGCATGTCACTTGGGGGCATTCCCAGCCCCGGGAGAGAGCTGGTCAGAGGGTCGGGCTGGAGGCCAACAGCAGGGAGGGCTGGCAGCTGGCACAGAAGGGGTCAGGCTGGGGACACAGGGCCCTGGTGCCCTGAGAGCCAACCAGGTCTGCCATCCAGGGCTGGAGATCTGGCTAGAGGGGCTGGAGGTGGGGTGCAGATGAGGCTGCTGGTTCTCTGCCCCGTTTCCCATCGGGGCCCAGGGCAGACCTCTGTGAGGCTCTGGCTCAGGGCGAAGGCAGGAGACAACCTGCAGATGGGGGCCACGGGACGGCTCCCCAGGGGCCAACCACATCTGTTTGGGCCTTTCATTATGAAAAAATTTTCCTCTGATTACAAAAGTATCTTGTATTCACAATAGAAAAAATGAAGACCACCAAAACCCACATATGCACAAAATAAAAACCACCCGTAGTGCCATCTTTTCTTTAACTCCATAAAGTACAAAAGTTAAAAAGCAAATGCCCCATCCCCTCCCTCCCAGCTCTCCCCACGGCCCTGTGCGCAGAGGTCAGTGTGACGGCAAACCCTGAGGGCTCCTTCTCTCTTCTCCTCCCTTGGAAGGGAACCGGAGCTGAGCTTCCCAGGAGGGGACAACTCAGTCACTGTGTAATCCCAGCTGCTAGGGAGGCTGAGGCAGGAGTATCACAAGTTTGAGGCCAGCCTCAGCAACTTAATAAGATCCTGTCTCAAAATAAAGAGTCAAATAGGGCTGGGGATATAGCTCAGTGGTAAAGCCCCTCTGGGTTCAATCCCCAGGCCTCACACATGCTCTGCCACTACACCGCACCCCCAGACCTATGGTTTAATTTTTTAAAAAATTATATTTATGGATCTCCCCGTTATAAAAGAAACACATATTTTTGTAGAAAAAAAAAGAAAAGCATAACTAAGAAAACAATATTTGCTCATAAAATATCACTGCTGCTATCTTTCATTTTTTTGCTGGGGGGGGGGAGTACCAGATATTGAACTCAGGAACGCTTAACCACTGAGCCACCTCCCCAGCCCTATTTTGTATTTTATTTAGAGACAGGGTCTCGCTGAGTTGCTTAGGGTGTCACTAAGTTGCTGAGGCTGGCTTTGAACTCGCGATCCTCCTGCCTCAGCCTCCCCAGCCGTTGGGATGACAGGCTGCGCCATTGCGCCCAAGTGCTACTGTAGTTTGATGGGAAAATCTCCTCGTCTATTTTCTCTGTCAATTATACAAATATAAGTACAAAAACACATTCACACACACATACGTAAGTCGTGCCCGGGTGGGACCTTCCCTTCTTATTAGACCGTGTCATTAGATGTCCTTGGACCACATCTTTTTGATGCCTGCGTGCGGACTGTCACAGAAACTCCCAATTACTGGGACCCAGTCCCCTGCCCCCTCCGCCGGCTTGGCCCTCCCTGTGCCCTGCTGGGCTGCGACGGCCTTGGGGGCGGGTACTCTGAGCGCAGGTCTCTGTCGCGGGAGGTGGAGGGGAGGGGCCACCGCAGGGAATCCCGGAACGCGGGGACCCGAGAGCCACCGCCTGGCCGATTGCACAGCGGGCAGGGCTGGCCCTGGCGGAGTGGCAGGGAGACGTGACAGGCAGGTGTCCTTGGCCGGCCAGGTCCCCCTCCCTCGGCACAGGCAGCGCACGTTCCGCGGCCGCCGAGCCTGTCCCTCTGGTCCGCGCGGCGCTGCGCCCCCCCCACACCGGCGCCTCCCTGCGCCGCGGGCGAGGCGCCCACACCCTGGCCACGGTGCCCGGCCGAGGATCGGGGCGACACAAAGGCGGCCATTTACAGGCTGCTGTGCAGGAGGGACAGCCCAGCATTGACACTGCGCCTGGGGACCTTCTACCCCGGACAGCCGGGCCCTCCCCGCGGGGATGCCGAGGAAGCCGAGGACCGCGGTGCCCGGAGACGTGCGAGCCGGTCGGTAGCACAGGACATTCGCCAGAGGGGGCCTGGCCAAGACGGGCCTTGGCCTGAGTCGCCGAGGGCTCCACAAAGAGGCTCCGGCCCTTCGGAGGCCGCTCTGCTGAGGCCCCTCCAGGGCTTCCTGCCATCCCTGCGCTGCTGGATAAGAAAGCCTCACTGTTAGAGGCGACCAGACGGAGTCTGTGTTCCCCGCAGCCTGCGGGACCCCGTCACCCGCGGGGAGTGCGCTTCACGGTTTACATGGTAACCTCCAAGGCCCTCCCAGGCCTCCTCTGACCACAGCAACCCCTTGAATGCCAGGCATGGAGCACACGCCTATAATCTCAGCGGTTCAGGAGGCCGAGGCAGGAGGATTGCCAGTTTGAGGCCAGCCTGAGCGATTTAAGGAGACCCTCAGCATCTTAGTAAGTCCCTGTCTCAAATTATAAAGGACTGGAGTTGTAGCTCATGATAGAGTGGTAGCTCATGATAGAGTGCCTCTGAGTTCCATCCCCACTTCCAAAGCAAAAGCAAGCAAACAAACAAAACCCACAGAACAAAAATAAAACTGCAAGGGAGAATTTCCTATCTTCATATTATAGATGAAGAAACTGATGTTCAGAGAGGATACAAGTCCACTGGCAGGGGCTGGGGATGTGGCTCAAGCGTAGGGTGCTCTCCTGGCATGCATACGGCCCAGGTTCGATCCTCAGCACCACATACAAAGAAAGATGTTGTGTCTGCTGAAAACTAAAAAATAAATATTAAAAATTCTCTCTCTCTCTCTCTCTTAAAAAAAAAAAAGTCCACTGGCAGGATAGGAACCAGAAATTCAGAGCAGAGGACCATGGACAAACGGGATACAGAGTTAAATAACACAATCTTTGTTCTCACCACTCACATGTCCTAAAGGGTGTCAGATGTATCTGATTTGGAAATGGGACTGTTATGGTTCTCACTTGAAAGAACAAGCACAGAGATGTGAAGTAATGCAACCAAGGTCACACAGCTCAGTGGTGGCAGAGCCAGCATTTGAACTCAGTGAGCTCCCCACTCCATGCTATTTACTTCTACACAACCCACAGCCAGAGGTGTGGGCAGGTGGGACTGGCACTGCCAGGTCATTGACAGGAGAGCTGGGCTCCTCTTCAACACAGGTAAGTTTTCAGGCTAACTGGGACCCTCCCCTGGGAGCACCTGAACGGGATGGTCTCGTTCAACCCTGTGTCCCCACTTGTCCCCGGTCCCTTACTCCTCAAAGTGGGGTCCAACAGTACCCAGGAACTGGTTTGAAATGCAGAATACCAGACCCAGAGTTATTAAACCAGAATCAGTATCTTAAGACTTGAGTGCGAATTAGAACGAGGGAAGCCCCCACAGCACTTTTGGAAGAAAGAAATTCGTCATTATTGTGTAGAGAAGTTCCAGGACCCGCAAGTCAGAGATCGGGGCCAAGGGCTAGCTTCTGAGGGAGGGAGGAAGAGTCCATGGCCCAGAACGCACCTGATCTCCTCTGAGTGCAAAGCCCAGAGACAGTGGGGAGCCAGCCGGGCACGGGGTGTGGCGCACGCCTGTGATCCCAGTGGCTTGGGAGGCTGAGGCAGGAGGATCGCAGGTTCAAAGCCAGCCTCAGCAACTCAGCAAGGCCCTAAAAAACTCAACGAGACTCTGTCTCTAAATAAAACACACACATACACACACACACAAACTCACAAAGGGTCGGGGATGTGGCTCGGTGGCAGAGCGCTTGCCTAGCCTGCTCCAGGCCCTGGGTTTGGTCCTCAGTACTGGGGGACACAGGGTGGAACCTGGGGAGGAGGACGACTGGGCATTCAGAAGGGCTGGGTTTAATCGCTGTCCCCACTCTACGGCCCCTGGCCTCAGTGTCCTCCTCTGTGAAGTGGGGCCGCTGATGCCCGCCCCCGGGGCTGTGAACAGGAACAGAGAGGGTTCCAGCAGGCGCCTGCGTGGGGGAGCCCTCCTGCTGTCCCTCCGGCAGGCTCAGGCCCCTCACCCCAGAGCTTTCTGGATTTCAGAAAGATCACGTGACACGTGTGCTGACACCACATAACACCCAGCAGGGTCCGGCTGTCCCTGTAATTAAACACAGCACATTTCTGCAGCCAAACGTAGGAACAGTGAGAGACGCAGCTGTAGATCACCTCGCCAGGCCAGGCCTGCAGCCAAGTGGGTTTATCCAGGCTGATGCTGGGGGGACGGCCGGGCTGGGAGGGGCTGCAGGCAGGGGTGAGCCAGCCCTGACACGAGGGCAGTCGGAAGTCACCAAGGTTGGGGTCTGTGTAGGAGCATGACCTAATCCAAGACAGAGGCCAACCGATTTGTCAGACTTGAAAACAAACAGGAAGTGGACATCCTGGAGTTACCCAGGTCCTGGGCCCTGCTCAAATTCCCCAGCCTGGAGGCAGGGATGGAGTGTGGCTCATGCCTGTGATCCCACAGTGGCCTCACACACAAGCCACCCCCACAGAACCACGCAGGGAGACGCTTCCGTCAGAGTGTCAGGGACAACCCACAGTCTCATCCGACACACAGGAACGTGTTCAATTACCATAATATAAACAAAAAGTAAACTTATAAGGGTTCCCTGGGCCAGGCGCCATGAACAGTGGTCTTTATTCTTACAGCAGGCCTCTGAAGTATGAATGTTTGTTCTACTTCATAGAAAAAGACACCGAGGTTCAGGGTGGCTAAGAGAGTTGGGGTCCCTGGTTCATGGAAGGGCAGTGACTGAGTGCTGCCATTAAACCACACTGCTGAGCCAGAGCCCACTCAGGTACCGGAGGCCAAAGCAGGAAAAGGTCAAGTCTCACAGCTGACATGGGGACACAGGCATGGCCTGCAGCTTTGGACACCCCCAGTTCACCCTGGCTCTGCCCTCAGCTCCCCCATATCCTTGTGTTTCAGTGTCTCTTGGAGCCCCAGAGAGTTGTGTTTGGACTTTCTCCTTTCTGACAATCTTTGTCTTCCAATGGGAGCATCTGGTCCATTTATATTTAATGTAGTTAAAAGTGAGTGCGTGTATTTGTGTGTCTGTGATTGAATCTCTCCTGTTCTTATGACTGGTTCCCTGTATTCTGCATTTCTTTGTTCTCCTTTTTCTCTGCTTCTTTTAGATTTATTGGTTTTTGGTTTGTGGAGGATTTTTGCCATTGAATTTTTCTTTCTATTAGTTGGGAGGTTAGACATCTTTCTGTTTGACCCTATCATCAACTGAATATTTTGAGGACAAAATCCGTGTGTGTGTGTGTGTGTGTGTAAAGTGTTTTGTATCACTGGTGCCATAGCTTCAAATGATCTTCCTTTCTCTCCTTTATTTATTTATTTTGGATGGTGCTGGGGGTTGAACCTGGGGCCTCCAGTATGCTAGGCAAGCGCTCTACCCGTGAGCTGTCCCCCTAGCCTTTTTCATTTAATTAACTAATTAGTTAATTAATTTTTTGGTACTATAGATTGAACCGAGGAACACTTTGCCACTGTGATACATCTCCAGCCCTTTTTATTTTTTTATTTTGAGACCAGAGCTCACTAAGTTGCTGAGGCTGGCCTCAAATTTACAATCCTCCTGCCTTGGCCTCCCAAGATGCTGGGATTATAGGCCTTCCCTGCCTTCGCTGGCTTTGATATGACCTAAAAGAAGAAGGAGAAGGAGAAAGAGAAGGAAAAACAAAACCAAGTCTTTGGTGTTGGATGGGCCCTGTTGGGACTCTGGCTCTAGCCCCCTGAAGCTGTGTATGGCTGTCTGATGGCTTTCCCTAAGACTCAGTGTCCCCATCTATAAAACACTGACGATGAAACCCACTCCGTGCTTTACGCTGACATTTCATGGTCTTAGGACGCCTGTCACCCTGCGCTGTGCTTGGTACAGAGAGGGGGTTCAGCGTGTGTCTGTCTCCTCCTCTTTCCAGACGGTGCCTCTCTCTGTTCCCTAAAACTGGCCCTGGACAGAGGCTCCCTGCGCTCCTGGTTGTATCACGGGCTTGACCCTGGGAACCTTCCCCAAAGTTTCCTCTGTGGGGTGCGAGGGTCCCAGGTGCCCGGCCGCAGCGTCCCCAGCCACGCACAGCCACAGTCTGGGGAGCGGGAGGCTGTCAGGAAATTCTGCCCAAACTGGGGGGAACGACCCGAGTCCTCAGGGAGCCCAGGGGGCCAGGAGGGTGCCTGACAGTGCTGTCCCCAGTCCTGCCTGGGAAGAGGGCCCAACCGAGCACCGCAGCCTCCCTTCCAGGAGGCAGGTGTGTCCTCTTGGTGAGCTGAGCTGTGACTCACAGACACCCACTCCCTCTGATTCTGTGTTGGCACAGCGACCCTCGGGGGCCCTCTCATTGATCAGGTTTCCCAGGCACCTCGAGGCTGGAAGAGGGTGTCCCACGCTGTGCAAACAGGTAGTACTTACTGCGTGACAGCCCCCCGCCCCCACGGGGACTGTTCCCAGACCTTGATCTATTTACCAATCAGCCCTGCAGGGTGTTTTGAAAGGTGAGGGTCAGCCAAATGTCCCCTGTTGGAATAACTCTAAAATGTCAGGGACTGGGACACAGCTCAGCGGTAGAGCATGTCACGTCCCTAGCTGCCGGGAGCCCTGGGTTTGATCCCCAGCAGTGCAAAGAAAAAAATGTAACTGCAGCTCTCTCAGGGGGGGAAACTGAGGCACATGCAGACCTCAGAATGAGACCAGGAGAGGCTGAATGGGAATGTGTGCATCCTGCCAGCCGGGCATGGGGGCCCACACCTGTGATCCCAGCCCGTCAGGAGGCTGAGGCAGGAGGATCAAGTGTTCAGTGCCAGCCTCAGCAACAGTGAGGCCCTAAGCAGCTCAGTGAGACCCTGTCTCTAAATAAAATACACAATAGGGATGGGATGTGCCTCAGTGGTCGAGTGCCCCTGAGTTCAATCCCCCCCAGTACCCACACCTCTAGGCTTTGACAGTAACAAGAGACACCGCAGGCTGAACGCCTGCACTATGTCCCTATCACTGTTCCCCATACACCATCTCCTTTAATCCTTCAAACCAGAACTGTCCAACATGGTGGCACTAAGCCATGGGTGACTACACAGCACTCAAAATGTGGCTAGTGCAACTGAGAAACCTGCATTTTATTTAGTTTTTAATTCAAAAACAGATACTTAACTTGGTTGTCAGAAAACTTTTGGTTTTTGGAACAACTTGGGTATGTATGAATGATTTTTTGGAAGTCGAACTGCAGATCAAGTATATGTACACTGAAGGTTTAGTGTCCAAGTGAGATGTGCTGAGGCGGGAAGCCCACGCTGGATTCACGAGGTGGGCAAGTGCTCTACACAGAGCTCTCCCCTCCCCCGACACCACCAATGTCGCAGACTTGATTTAGAAAAGGGAGTGTGAAGCTTTGTTCACTGTGCTTTTTAAAATTCATTTTATTTTTATGTTTTATTTTTTGCAGGGCCGACATCAGACCCAGGACCTCGCCGAGCCTGCTAGGCAAGGACTCTACCACTGAGCCATGCGCCCAACCCCATTATGTTTTTTATATTGATTAATGTTGACATGACAATATTTCTCATGTGTCAGGTTAAATAAAATATATTATTAAAATTTATTTTATGTGTTTCCTTGTACATTTTTTTTTTAAGCCAGACTCTTGCTAAGTTGATGAGGCTGGCCTTGAACTTGTGATCTTCCTGCCTCAGCCTCCCCAGTTGCCAGAATTACAGGCATGTTCCACTGCATGTGGCTCTTTTTACTTTTTATAATGTATCAGTTGAAAAAATTAAATCAGCCAGGTATGGTGGCATATGCTTGTAATCTCAGCGGCTCACGAGGCTGAGGCAGGAGGATCTCAAGTTCCAAGCCAGCCTCGGCAACTTAGCAAGGCTCTAAGCAAGTCAGTGAGACCCTGTCTCAAAATAAAAATAATAAAAAAGGCTGAGGATGTGGCTCAGTGGTTAAGCACCCCTGAGTTCAATCCCTGGTACCCCCCCAAAAAAAGTTAAATCATATATATGCCATATATGCCATAGATGAAAGCTGTCAAATGTCTGTAAGTTAGTAATGATATCGTGCCAATGTTAATTTTTGAGTTTTGGCAAATGGATTGTTGTTATGCAAGAAGTTAACCTTAGAGAAATAGGTGAAGGGTTTAAGAAAACTCTCTGATTATCTTTGCAATTTTTCTGTAAATATAAAATTATTCCCAAATGAAAAGTATAAAATACCCTCCTCCAAACGTATTTGCAATTATGTTATATTTCTATTGGAGACGTATACAACTCCATTATATATGTTTTTTAATTTATTTATTTTTAGTTGTAGTTGGGCACAATATCTTTATTTATTTATTCTTATGTGGTTCTGAGGATCGAACCCAGGGCCTCGAACGTGCTAGGCGAGCACTCTACTGCTGAGCTACAGCCCCAGCCCCCATTATATTTTTATTACAAAACTTTAAATAGTTCTGTGAGGTTATCATCTTCCCCTTACAGATGAAGAAACTGGTGCCCAAATAGGGTAATGGCTGCATTTCGGACTCATCTATCTATTTTGAAGCCCTTGGGTTTTCTGCTGAAGCCCTGTGGTTTCTGACTTAATGACACCGGCACCCACAGATCTGAGAATTTTTCTTGTTGTGCCCTTTTCAGAGGGCACTGGAGTGCCAGGTGTGATGATGCACACCTGTCATCCCAGCAACTTGGGAGGTTGAGGCAGGAGGATGGCAAATTGGAGGCCAGCCTCAGCAACTTAGTGAGATCTTGTAATCTCAGCTACTCAGGGGGCTGAAACAGGAGGATCTCAAGTTTGAGACCAGTTTGTACACTTTGGGGAGAACCTGTCTTAAAAGATAGAAAGGTCTGGGTTTGTAGCTCAGTGGTACAGCACTCACCTAGCAGGCATGAGGCCCTGGGATGGTTTCTAGCAGTGAGGGGTCAGGGCAGAGAGCACTGGTGTATGCCCCCACTGCTGCAGTAGGCCGGGAATGGTGGGTGGTAGAGAAGAGGCAGGGGATGTAGAACAGAAGCTGGGTGATCTGGAGGGTTCCTTTGATAATGAGATGCCATCCAGGATGGACCCACCTGAGGTCTAAGGCTGTAGGACAAAAGAGAAGGCTAGCCCAGCACAGTGGCACATACCTGGAATCCCAGTGACTTGGGAGGCTGAGGCAGGAGGACGGCAAGTTCGAGGTCAGCCTCCGTGACTTACTGAGGCTCTAAGTAACTTGATGAGCCTGTCTAAAAAGAAATAACTAAAAAAGACTGGGGATGTAATTTAGTGGCAAAGCACCCCTGGGTTCAATCCCCAATACCAAAAATAAATAAATAAAGGAAGGAAGGAAGGAAAGAGTGATAGGTTCTGACATTTCTTTGGTTACTTTCATCTCTGCCTGACTTTGGAGAGAGGCTCTCCAGAGCATCGGCTGTTGCCTCATGGAAAGAATTGGCAGGGGCACTCAACTTTAGCTTATCAGGACCCAAAGAGACAAATAATGGCACCATGGGGGTAGAGCAGAGGACCCACGGTGTCCTGGAGTGGGGAGAAGACAGAAGTTTATCTTCTCACTTCAAACGTGGGGTATTTCCCTTCCAATATAGAAAACCTGCCTCCTGGCCAGGCTCCATAGTGCAAGCCTGTCATGTCCTGGCAACTTGGGAGGCTGAGGCAGGAGGATGGCAAATTGGAGGCCAGCCTCAGCAACTTCTTGAGATCCTAAGCAACTTAGTGTGACTCTGTGTCAAAATAATAAACAAAAAGTCCTGGGGATGTAGCTTAGTGGTAAAGTGCCCCTACATTCAATCCCCAGCACCAAAAAAAGAAAAGAAAACCTGCTTCCCGGCCTGCGGTCCCCAGCTCTGACCGCCCTGGGGCCGGGCAGTCGGGGTTCCCTGCATTCCTTCCTTGCGGCTCATCTGGAGCTGCCCACGGGATCCAGCCCTGGCCTCCCTGAGCGCTAGACCTGCGTGGCTGCCTCTTCCCTCTGCCGTCAGCCTTGGCAGCCTCCAGGGCCCACGGTCCCCCGCCGTGAGGTCACAGTTGTGCCATACTCCAGGGGCCAGGCCAGCCCGGCCAGCGCACCGTCTGCGGCCGGCCACTCGGCAGCCCTGTCCTGACGTGGCCCTTCCCCTTTGCTGCCCGGCAGTGCACTCTGTCTCGCCGCGGCCAGATGTGCCGGCTTTGGTGCTGGCGGCCTCTAATGAGGTCCAGATGTGCAGCCGGGCCAAGGCCTACGGCGGCGGCTACCAAAGAAGAGGGAGGCCCTGGGCGGGGGCAGCGGGCTGCAGCTGGCCCGGGAGGAATGCACCGGGAAGGGCTCCCGCTGGCCCGCGGGCCGGGGACGTCTCTGCCTAAATAAGGGCCGGCCTCGCCTGGAGCTGGACTCCTCCTGGAGGTGCAGGAGCGCTCGGGCCTCAGCTGTTCCCGGAACCTTCCCTAACAACTGGGGGTGGGGGGAGTGTCTTTTTTTATTTTTTCTTTTTTTAAAAAAATCATTACAGAAGTCATCCATGGTGATGAAAGGCCACCCAGAAAACCAGATAAAAGCTGGGGGTCAGCTCCGCCGCGGCAGGCTTGCCTCCCATGCACGGTCCTGGGTTCCAGCCACCACCACAGTAAATAAATCCATGTCGCAGGTACGCTGGGCATGATGAGAAAAAGTTATCAGTCATCTAGCATCTCCCCACCCCAACCCCCTTTAAAGTTCTGGGGTGCATTCTGTGCTTTTTCCAAATACAAATGCATGTGGACAGTTTTAATCAGGAATGGAGCCCAGGGGCGCTCAACCACTCAGCCCCGTAAGTTGCTTAGGGCCTCGCCAGATTCCTGAGGCTGGCTTTGAACTTGCGATCCTTCTGCCTCAGCCTCCAGAGCAACAGGGATTACATGGGATTGTGACACGTGCCACAGCGCCTGGCTCATGAATTAGTTCGAGTCATGCTTCCAAGACTCTCAGAAACTGAGTTTGGGGCTCAGTCCTTAGGCCTTGGGTCGGCTTCACCAGTATTCCCAAACTGGCTACACGGGACACCGGGACCCTTTTGTTATTAGTTGGGATCCTTTGCCAATGTGCGGGATGCATCGACATACGCCAGCTTCAATGGGATTCTTTCCGGAGGGTTTCTTGGAGTCTTTAATTTACTAATGTGTGTTCTGAATCATCAAGAGGAGACTGGCATTGCTGAGACATATTTCACTTTGAAATCCCTCGAGGGATGCTCTTGAGGCTTGGGTCTGTGGAGTGTCATGTAGGAAATGCATTATTCATCATGGCTGCACAGAAGCCAACTGCATTTATAACCCGCCGATTACTTCAGCATTCCTCAATGGCTGAGCATTAGGGTTGTTTTGAACTTATCACTATGGCAAATAACTCTGTGATGAGCACCCTTCTACTTCCATTTTGGTCGAACACAAACATCCAAAATGGGACTGTTGCTTATGTTAAAGACTATTTTTAAGCTGGGCTTGGTGGTGCTGGACTGTGATCCCAGCAGTTTGGGAGTCTGAGGCTGAGGCTAGCCTTCAGCAATTTATGGAGGCCCTGACACTGAGCAAGACCCTGTCTCAAAACAAAAAAAATTACATTAAAAAAGGGCTGGGGATGTGGCTCAGTGGTTAAGTACTCCGGGATTCAATCCCTGGTTAAAAAAATAAAAAGAAAAAACTAGTTTTAGCCAGGAGCATTGATGCATGCTTATAATCCCCAGCAACTCAGGAGGCTGAAGCAGGAGGATCGAATGTTAGAGGCCAACCTCTGCAATCTAGCAAGATCCTATCTCAAAGTAAAAATCAAAAAAGTCAGTGGTAAAGCACCTCTGGGTTTGATCCCCAGTACCAAAACTAAAATTTAAAAATGTTTTTAAATTCTTATATCTGGAGCGCCCGCAGCTCTTGACCCTATTCCTTTTGTGATGGGGAAGGAGGCCACCCCCCTACCATCAAAGAGCATCAGAGATGGGGATGGAGTCTTTAAGCATCCCTTGAGCTCTTGCACCCCTTTAGGTGTCCTGTGTGGGGGAGGGGGAGGCGGCAGGTGTGTTGGGAATGGAATCCAGAGCCTTGTGTGTGCCAGGCAAGGGCGCTGCCACTGAGCCACCTCTCTGCCCCTTTTTGTTTTTTTATTTTGAAATGCTCTCACTGAGTTGCCCAGCTAGCCCGGAGCTTGCAAACCTCCTGCCTCAGGCCCCTGAGGAGCTGGGATCACAAGTGTCCACCAAGCCTGTCCGAAAAATAACTTTTCTTGGGTAATTATTTTTTTTTAAATTAATTCTTATTTATTTATTTATCTATTTTAGGAACTAACATTTTTGAACAACAATTATTTTCCGAAGAACCATTACAGCCCCAGAGGGTGAAACCACATTCAGGTCCCTTCTGCGGGGTCCCCCAGAGGCCAGGACAGCCCCCAGCCAGTCCGGGTGCCTCATGGGCGCACAGTGCTGGTGGCTCCCATCCTGCGGGAACCCCGTGGGCACGGCCCACACGGTTCAGACCCGGGCAAGACCTCCCCTTCGTGTTTTCCTCCACATTATTCCTTTGATCCTCACAACATCCTGCGGCAGTCCACAGGATGAATCCATTCCACAGAGAGGGAAACTGAGGCCCGGGAAGGAAATGCCCCAGCCACACAACTGAGTGGCCAGGAGGGCCGGCGGCCACCGCTCTCCTTCCTCCCCTGCAGCACCCGGCATCGAGGGCCCCCCCCCCCCCCCCCCCCCGCACCTGGAGGCCACGCCCTGCTCTTCCATGTATTCGCTTTGGTGGGGGAGGGGAAAGTGATGGAAGAAAGGTCAAGAGGGCTCTCATCCGACAGGAGCAATGTGGCCACAGGCACCATCACCAGGGGACCAGGGGACTCATCTTTGTGTCCCCAGCACCGGGCTCATGGCGGTGGTCTCCAGAACAGGACTCTGCAGCCCTGGGACCATCTCTCCCAGACTCGGGCCTCCCACAGTCACTCTCTGACTTCCCCCGCCATTTCCATGTCCTAAACCACTTGCCCTTTTTGTCCTCTCTTCCCCAACAGTCACTGAAGTGCCCCTCAGCAGGGTCTCATGGGACAGATCAGGTCTACAGCGGAGGGGTCCAGGCAAGGACACCTTGATCTCAAGGGCACCTTATAGCGGTGGATCACGCCTGTTACTCCAGCGGCTTGGGAGGCTGAGGAAGGAGGATCGTGTGTTCAAAGCCAGCCTCAGCAACTCAGCAAGACCCTGTCTCTAAATAAAGTATAAAAAAGGAGCTGGGGACGGGGCTCCTGGGTTCAATCCCTGGTGCAAAAAAAAAAAAAAAGAAAAAAGAAAAAAAGAAAGCCTTTGGTTTTTGCTCTGTGTGGGTGGGTGTGTCACTGGAGACGGAATCCAGGGCCTCAAACGTGCTAGGCAAGTGCTGCATCACGGAGCTGCATCCCCAGCCTCTTGGTCTTATTTGGGAGGGAGTCTTCTTTTGAGAATCTAAGCACAGGTAGGGATGCCAGAGGAACCCCCAAATGCACGTACAGTGAAAGTGTGCCTTCAGGGTCAGGAGCTCACGCCTGGACTGAGAGCCCAGGTCGGGGGACCCTGCTCAGAACGCACTCTGTGCCTTCCCTCTGTTGGGAGACCTTCCCACAGAGCCGAAGGCCTGGCTGAACTCACGGGTCTGCTATCCCTTAGTCTCAGTTTCAGAACCCCCAGATCTCTGGAAGCCATAGGCTAGATAAAGTGAATCTTGTCATCATGCATTGAGCTGCAGAACTTGACCTGAGGTGAACTCATTTGGCAAGAAAATAGACCTCAACTGAGGTGAACCTATTTACAGCCTCTATTTACACCACTTAGCGAGTGAATATTCATAGACTTTGCTCAGAAATATTTATGTGTTTACCCATGGCCGTCCCAGATCCTACCCGGGCATTTTATAATATACAGTGTATTCACCATGGCACCGACTACACCAGGAGAAACTCTGAATTCTGAAACCTAACTGGCCCCAAGGGTTTCAGGTAGAGGATTGTGGTATTTATAAAATTGCCCCTAAAAAAAGTTCTCAGGGATATGAGTGAAGGAACCAGACACGTGATGTATTACAGTGTGATCCTATTTACACAAAGTTCAAGGACAGGCAACACTAATGGGTGGTGGTAGAAGTCAGAATAGCAATTACCAGGGGAGGGGGAGGGGCCAGGGGCCTGGGGGGAGGGGGAGGGAAATGTACAGATGCTGCGAATCCCGGCCTCGGATGGGGTGGGGTGCAGGTTAAGTGGGTATCCACAAATGTAAAAATGCATCCAGTTATTCTGAAAAACTCCATGCACTTTGCTCCAAGTCTGTTATACCTCAAAATAAAAGTAAAAATAACATTTATGGGAATATGTTAAGTCAAGTTAAGCAATAAGAAGCTGTTCCCGTTGGCACTGGAAGCCACCACCCTGTGAGATCTTCAACCTTCCCAACAAAGCTTAAATTAAAATCATCTTAATATAAGTCTGACTTTTCTTTAATCCCTAGAAATGAGTTTAACACAAAGTCAAATGTAATGAACATTAAAAAAAAAAAAAGAAAAGAAAAGAAAAAAACCCTCTGATTTCCCCTCCAAAAGAAGCCACCCCAGAGCAGAGCAGATCTTTGGTTTGAAATCTCTGAAGGGAGCACTTGGGGCCGGTCCCCTCCACCGAGAGGCTGTCCACTCGCATGGGGCTGCGGGAAGGTGTCTCCCGCCCTGTCCCCTCCTGCGGGGTGGCTCAGAACCAGCTGGGTGTGCGCACCCCGATCCAGGCCAGCACCCACCTGTGGTGCTGTGTGCCAGAACCTGTACCCAGCAGCAGTGTCCTTTAATTGCAATCGATTAGCTGGAATCTGGAATTTGTATCTGAGAACGCAAGGGCGCGGGCCTCCTTGATGAGACAGGTCAGGTAACAACCTGTGGCTGAGGGAAACAGGGCGCCTCTCTCCTTGACCTTCTCCTTGCTCAACCTCTGATTGCGCATAACCTTGTCCTTTGACACTCAGTCCCACAGCGTCCCACCTCCGCCTTCCCTCCCCTTCCCTATCCCAGTGACCTCTGGGCCCCACTTCTCTCCAGCTCCTCTCCTGACCCTGATCCGCCCATGTGCCAACCTTCCCCTGTCTCCAGCCAGAGGGCACTGGCCTGGTGGCCTTGGGCTGTCCCCAGCTGCCTCAGAGCCTTTGAGGAACAGTCAGGATATAAACAACCACCAGCCTACTTGGGCTCGTTCCTGGTCTTTCTAGAGCAGGACTGTCCACCAGAGCTTTCTGTGCGAATGGAACCCTTCGGGGACCTGCCTTGTCCAGCATGCTAGCCCCTAGCTATGGGGGTCTCTGTGCCGCTTGATATGTAGCTTAGTGCAACTGAGAGCTGGATTTTTCATTAAGATTTTTTTAATTAAAATGAAAAACTAGGAACCGGGTGTGGTAGTGCACCCTGTGATCCCAGGATGGGGAGGCTGAGGTAGGAAGATCCAAAGTTCAAGAGCAGCCTCAGCAATTTAGCAAAACCCTAAGCAATTTAGCAAGACCCTATCTCAAAATAAAAGATTAAAAGGGCTGGACGGGTGGCTCAGTGGTAAAGCTACCTGGGTTGAAATCCTAGGATGGAAGGAAGGATGGTAGGTAGGAAATTTATTTATTTATTTATTATATTTGTTTGTTTGTTCTAATTAGTTACACATGACAGTAATTCTTTTTTTTTTAGGTAGGAAATTTAAACACCCTAGTGCCTAGTGGCTACCACACTGGGCTCTGGAGGGAGAGGACAGCTGGGACCTAGCTCCTTTAACCCAGCCTGGCAGTATCTCAGGAAAGCGCCCTGGCTGTTCACTGAAGATACCAGCCCTAGTCTCAGGAGTTCCCAGATCCGTCTTCCTGCAGAATAATAACTGGAAACATTCGCTGAGTCTCTACAATGTGTCATCCATGTTGTGAATGTGACCCAGATGTGTTGGGCCACCTGGAGACTCATCCTAGCACTTGAGAGAAGCTCAGATTCCAACACAGCTTGGAAAGTAACATAGTAGGCACAGGCCTGTAATCCCTGCCACTTGGGAGGCTGAGGCAGGAAGATCACAAGTTTGAGGCCAGCCTTGACTATTTAGTGATACCCTGTCTCAAAATAAAAAAATAAACAAAAGGGCTGGGGGTGTGACTCAGTGGTAAAAACAAAAAACAAAAACAAAAAAAACAACCCTGGGTTCAATCATCAGTACCTTGAAAGAAAGGGAAAAGGAGGAGGGAGAGAGAGAGAGAGAGAGAGAGAGAGAGAGAGAGAGACCTTTTCTAAGAACCTCCTAAGGAAGCACAGGAGGACACTGTTCCTTCCCCAAGCCCCCTCTTGAGCATAGCTGCTCCTCTTCTTTCTTCCCACCACCCCATGCCCTCACACATGGACTTCACGTGGTGGGCCTCTCTTCCTCCACCTCCTCCTTCATTCTTCTCATCTCTTTTTGTTCCCTCCCTCCCTCCTTCCCCACCCCTCTCTTTCTGGTACTGGGATTGAACCCCCAGGGGCACTTTACTAGCAAGCTACATCCCTAACCCAACTTTTATTATTATTATTATTATTTTAGTACAGGGTCTTATTAAATTCCCTGGGCTGGCCTTGAACTTGCAATCTTCCTGCTTCAGCCTCCGCAATCATTGGAATGACAGGCACCAGGCACGCATACATGCCAGGTCCCCTTCATTCTTTTTTTTTTTTTAGAGAGAGAGAGAGGAGAGAGAGAATTTTTTAATATTTATTTTTTAGTTTTCAGTGGATACAACATCTTTATCTTATTTTTTTTTTAATGTGGTGCTGAGGATCAATCAAACTCAGTGCCCAGAGCATGCCAGTCAAGCGCACTACCGCTTGAGCCACATCCCCAGCCCCTCTTCATTCTTATTTAGATAAAGAGTGGCACAGGCACAGGCACGTGACACCTGCCGGCAATCCCAGCAGCTGTGGAAGCAGAAGCAGGCTAATCCCAGGCGCTAGGCCGGCCTGGGCCACTTAGTGAGACCCTGTGTCAAAATAAACAACAACAACAAAAGGGCCAGGGACACAGTTCAGTGGTGGAGCACTTGTCCAGCACACATGAAGCTACCCACCCCCACAAAAAAATTGGCCCCTCTGGGGTTTGCCCTGACTTCCCTCACCTGTAACAGCTTCTAACAGACCAGCCACCACTCTTTCTTCTAGCAGTGGAGAGGGAAACTAGTGACCCGTACTTAGAATGAACTCTCCCCCTTATACAAAGCCACTGCTGTGCCATTTTACAGATGAACAAACTGAGGCCAGGAATAGTTAGGGCCCGAAGCTGGGAATGGAGAAACCACCAGATTTCATGGACCCAGGGCACTTCTCATCAGGACATGAGGAGCGCCCTGCTCAAGGATGTCAGTCGCCCATGGATTAATGTGCCGGATTACCCCACCCCAAGAAATGGTTTGTTTTAACCAAGAGACAAAGGCTTGACCCCAAGGAGTGACTCAGTGGGGATCTTAATCCCAAATTTCTCAACCTGGAACCCAAGGCTCAGCCAGCCAGGCTCAGCCTCCTGTCACCTCCTGGTCCTGACCTTGGAGCCTGTTCTCCGGCTCAGGAAGACTCAGCTCCGTGGCCAGGCTTCCCCACTGCTAAACAAGCTGTGCACCCCATTAGTTAAAATCAGGGTAAAATATGCATCATATAAAATTTGTCATTTTCTCCGTTTTCGGGTGTATGGTTCAGTGGTTTTCCCATTGTCACACAATCGTCTCCTAAGCTTTTTCAGTTCCCAGACTGAAACTCCGCACCCATCAAACAGAAAGTCCTCTCCCTGCTCCCCGACGACCACCCTTCTACCCTGTTTCCAAGGGCTTGACTATTTTAAACACTCATATAAATGGAACCATGCCAGGTTTGTTCTTTAGTGCTAGGTGTGGTGGCACACGTCTGTCATCCCAGTGACTTGGGAGGCTGAGGCAAGAGGATCAAAAGTCTGAGGCCAGCCTGTCACATAGCAAGACACTGTCTCAAAATAAGAAGTAAAAAGGGCTGGGGGTGTGGCTCAGTGTAGAGCAATTGCCTAGCATGTGCAAGGCCCGGGTTCTGGGTTCAATCCCCAGCATGTCTTCCCCCTGCCAAAAATAAAAAAAAATCCAACCCTGCTGATGGGCTAAGGCCAGAGGATCCCAAGTTTGAGACCAACTGTGGCAATTTGCTGGGGGGTGGGAGTATGTAACAGGGGATTGAACCCAGGGCCACTCTACCACTGAGCCACATCCCCAGCCTTTTTTATATTTTATTTAGAAACAGGGTCTCACTGAGTTGACTAGGGCCTTGCTAAGTTGCTGAGGCTGGCTTTGAACTTGTGATCCTCCTGCCTCAGCCTCCCACGCCACTGGGATGGCAGGTGTGCACCACCACGACAGGCCAGCCACGTGCTATTTAGCAATACCCTTTCTCAGAATATAAAGGGCTAGAATATGGCTCAGTTATCATATGAAAGACCTGTTTTCAATCTCCAGCACCTCAAAAAAAGAAAAGAAAAGAAAAGTATACAGTTTGATGAGCTTTCACTGTATGAACTTGTGAAATCGTCACCAGAATCGAGAGAACATGTCTCTCACCCCAGTTTCCTTGTTCCTCTTTGTAATCCCTTCCTCCTGCTCCTCCCTGAGCAGCCACAGAGGGACTCTCACCTTAGACTGGTTTGCATTTTGAAGAATTTTATATAAATGAAGTCATACAGCCAGGACTTTTGTTGTTTTCCGTCTGGCTTCTTTGACTCAACATGATCATTTTGAGGTTCAGCGGTGACGTTCATCACTATGGACCAATAGTTGTTCAAGGATATTGATAGCTTCTTGTTTTTCTTGTTTTTCTTTTTTTTTTGCTACTAGAGATTGAACCCAAGAGTACTTTATCACAGAGCTGCAGCCCCGGACCTTTTTATTTTAGGACAGAGTCTCACTTAAGTTGCTGAAGTTGGCCTCAAACTTTCAATCTTTCCATCTTAGCCTCCTAAGTCTCTGGGACTACAAGTGTGCACCCCTGCACCCAGTTTACACTTGGAATTTTAAAAAGGAGTCTGATGGCTGCGCACAGATTACACCTGTAATTCCAATGGCTCTGGAGGCTGAGGGCAGGAAGATCGCAAGTTCAATGCCAGCCTCAGCAACTTGGCGAGGACCTCAGCAACTCAGTGAGATCCTGCCTCTAAATAAAAGATCAAATAAATAAATAAATTAATTAATTAATTAATTCAAGGCCTGTCTGGGCAAATTAGCAAGACAGACCCTGTCTCATAAAAAATTTATAAAGGGAATGAAACTATAAATGTCTATGACAGAATCAGAACCTCAATTTGAGTGTGGCTGATGTATTTTTTCACACCATCTCCTGTCCCTCCTCCTCCCCTCACCTGTGGTGCTACATTGTGTGCAGGATAGCGTCCCCACTCCACAAGTTAGGTGGCCATACAAGGGTATGCTACAAGGACATTGTCTGAAAGCTGTTTTATCCCCCAAAAGATGTGACTAAAATAAAATGTAGTCCATATTTTCTATTAATGGGTCTTCATGGACCCTATAAGAATCTTAATCCAAGAAAATAGACTAAGGATATTTATTCACTCTAAGGTAAATAAATTATATTTTAAATTTTTTTTAAATGGCTAAGGATCTAATTACCCATGAGTTAAATCCCCAGTACTAAAACAAATAAACACCAAAAAAAAAAAAAAAGTAAATGGATTGCCTATTTAAAATAAAATTAAGATGGACACAGTGGCCCACACCTGTAATCCCAGCAATTTGGGAGGCTGAGGCAGGAGAATGGTGAGATCAAAGCCAGCCTCAGCAACTTAGCAAGACTCTGTCTCAAAAAAAAATAAAAGGGTAGGAGACAGGCACGGTGGCACAGGACTGTTATCCCAGTGGCTTAGGAGACGGAGACAAGAAGATCGCAAGTTCAAAGCCAGCCTCAATGAGGATGAGGGGTTTAGCAACTCAGTGAGACCCTGTCTCTAAAAAAATACAAAAAAGGGACGTGGCTCAGTGGTTGAGTGCCCCTGAGTTCAATCCTGGGTAACAAAAAAAAAAAAAAAAGAGAGAGAGAGAGAGGGAGAGAGAGAGAAAAGAAAAAGAAATCACTCATGGTGGCACATGCCTATAATCTCAGAGACTCAGGAGGCTGAGACAGAAGGATCGAAAGTTTGAGGCCAACCTCAGCAACTTAGTGAGGCCCTAAACAACTTAGTGAAAGCCTATCTCAAAATAAAAAGGACTGGGGATGAGACTCAGTGTCAAAGCCCCGGGTGTCAATCCCTAATACAAAAATAAAGAGAGAAGAAATTAAACTAAAACACTATTTTGAAAGAAAATAGAGGCTCCTGCTTGGTCCAGCCTGTGGCGCTAGTCAGTGCCCTTCAGCTTTGGCTGTTCAGCCTCCCTCCTTGAACCTGCTGCCCAGGGAGTCTGGCATTCTTTGCTCCTCCCAGGCAGCCTCTAGACCTGTTTCCCAAACATCCACGCGCAGACCCAGCAACCTGGACTGTGATTCAGCAGCCTGGGGTGATTCCCAGACTGAGTTCTCAGCAGCTCCCAGGAGAGGCTGGAGCTGCGGCCCGGGACCACCCCTGGTGTAGGGAAAGCCTGCAGCTCTGTGCCTCGTGGTGAGAGGCCTTGAGAAGCTGCCCTGGCCCCGGGAGGAGGAGGGGTGTGACCAAGGACATTGTGAGAGTGCAGTTGGCCCTGCTCATCCCTCTGGGCCTCAGTCTCCCCACAGAGTCAGGACCACTGGTTTCTGTCCCTCCTTAGCACCGTTGAGGCCAGAACACAGACGGCTCCCTAGCCGCCTTCACTGAAGAGACTCTGCCAAGCAGGTGGGACAATGCCACCCAGAGGCCCAGGGGCTGGTGGAGGATACTCTGGGATGCAGTGTCCCCACTGCACAAGTGCAGCTGGCCCAGGCCTCATAGCCAATAAGGAGCACCTTTCCTGTTCCCATGGGCTGTGGGTGACTGCGGGCCACCCGTCTCCTCTCTCCCTGAAAACTCAGAAGCCAAACCAAACCTCCTTCAAATGAAACCAGACGGCGCTGGGCACAGACTCCCTGCTTGTTGTGAGAAGCGCGTCTTGACCCCAGGTGCGGCTGGACCACCTGCTCCCGCAGACAGCTGCTGCCCCCGGGCGGGCAGAGGGCTCCTCTCTGCCCAGGTGGGAACTGACCTGCTAAGTCGGAAGTCAACTGCTGAGCACCCAACGCCCCACCGCGCCCCTCGCCCCAGGGCACAGGGTGGTTTTTTTCCAGGCCACACACGAGTTTCCCTGATGAGGCATTTTCTGTATGACAAACCCCACTCCCGGCCACAGCCACAGCGGGAGAGAGAAAAGAGGATAGTGGGGGTTCTCCAGGAAAACCAGCAGGGTGGTCCCTCAGGGTGCACCACCCCTGGCTGGGGCAGGCAGGGCCCCCGCCCCCCTGCCGCCGCGGTGACCACTGGAGGTGTTCCAGGAAAGGCACCCCCCACACACACACTGTCCCCACCCACCAGTGACCATGCCAGAAATTGCAATCGTGCACATTCATTCTTTTGAGATGAGAAACTGCATCTCTTAAAATGCCTCCACCCACAGGAGAGGTCACACATTAAGCTGTTATCAGTCATCTACGGCTTAATGGGAATTAGTTGATCAGTCCTGGAATGTTAAACCTGGAATGGCTCTACTCAGGCCCACTTTTTTTTTTTTTTACAAGTCAAAACATTGGAGCCCAGAGTGAGAGATGACTGGTTCAAGGTCAAGTTCAAGGTAGTGACCCACTCAAGGGCAAGAAGAGCCATGAGAGATGAATTGTAAACAAGTGACTAGGATGAAGAAGAGTGGGGCATCTTGAAACTTTCACTTTATTGACTCAGAACTGTACCAAAGTCCGGCCCAGGGGCACATACCTGTATAATCCCAGCAGCTCAGGAGGCCGAGGCAGGAGGATCCTGAATTCAAAGCCAGCTTCAACAATTTAGCAAGGCCCTAAGCAATTCAGTGAGACCCTGTCTCTAAATAAAATACAAAAAAAGGGCTGGGGATGTGGCTGAGTGGTTAAGTGCCCCTGGGTTCAATACCCAGTTCCAAAAAAACAAACAAAAAAACTGTACAAATTTTTCTGCCAAGAGAAGGCAAGAGACAGAGAGCCAGGAGCAGTGCCCAACTGGCCCCACCCCTGAGCATAAAATGCCTTTAAAGTCTCCTGTTTTATCTTAAAGTTCATTCAAATGCAACATTTTACTCCATAATATACACTGATTTTCACATCAAAATAACAGAGATTCATTTAGTGAGATACCATTTTCCCTTTATCGGATGGACTGATAACAAAGTTTGTGTTCCTGGGGATGTATGTGAATGGTTGTGACAGGGGGTAATGTCTCACTGTAGGCTCTTTCCTGACCTTTTGTGAATTTTGTGTGATCTGAAAATATTACCCAATCAAAATTAATGAAATTTAAGTTTAAAATATGGGTTGGGAGAAGGCGGTGGGGAGAAACAGTTATTCTCAGCCTGTGGCCAGGCAGTGCAAACAGGATCATCTGCATGTTGGACAGTTGTGATATTTGTCCAAGATGTTAAATATACACACCTCTTATTCAACAATTTGTAGCCTAGGAATCTAGCCCACGGCCAAGGGCAATGGTGTCCAGCATATTTACTGCTACCTTCTTTGTGCTGACCTTAAGGGCTGGCCTGAGCATCTTACCATCTTTGATGACTCTGACAAATCTTTTTTTCTTTTGGTGGGTGGATGGGGGGGCTACCAGGGATTGAACTCAGGGGTACTAAACCACAGAGCCACATCCCCAGCCTGTTTTATATTTTATTTTGAGACAGTTTCCATAAGTTGCTTAGGGCCTCACAAAGTTGCTGAGGCTGGCCTCACACTTGCGATCCTCTGATTCAGCCTCCTGAGTCGCTGGGATGACAGATGTGCACCACTAAGCCCAGCTTGGATAATTCTTAACAAAACCAGAAGTCCGATGGTGTAGCACTTGCCTGTAATCCCAGCAACTCTGGAGGTTGAGGCAGAAAGATCCCCAGCAACCTACCTAGTAGTGCAAAAACAAAACGAAACCAGAAGCCAAATCTCCCATTTCCAGTTTGAAGAATCACTCAGCATAGAATAGTAAAATAGTAACAACTACTGATGCTAACAGAGTGATTTGCTCCTGGCCTGACACATAGACCAAACAAACCCCTTCAGTTCTCCCAACAGCTTCCTGAACTACCACTGTGATAGATGAGGACATTAGTGCTCATCTTGCCCAAGGTCACACTTGCTAACCTGGCTACCCAGGCCCACACTGGAACCACAGCACAGCCCTGCCTCTCCCACCGCAGATGGCACGTGCATGCCCCGGATGCTATTTGCTAAGTCCCTGTGCAGGTCATTTTGCTGTGTTTTTCTGAGGTCTTCTCTACGTCCAATCCTGGTTGAATACAGGAGGTGACAGGAATGAGTGGGTATCATTAGGAGGACTGAAGAAGAAAACCAAAGACACCTTCCCTGACCTTCAATCCATAGCATGTGTAAGCAGAAGACAAGGAACCACCCTTACCCCTGAGCATCACTCCCCAGTTTTCAAAGTCCTCTCATTATCTCATCTAATCTTGTTGACAATCCTGACAAATAATTTTCACAATCTCTGCTCCAGGATGAGGAAACCAAAGCTCTCCAAGTCACGAGGGGCTGCCCCCAAGATCATCTAGCCATCCCTGGGAGGAGCTGAAACTTGACCTCGGGTCTCATGACACCCCTGGGCCCAAGGGAAATGACACACTGGCTTGACAGCCCAACTCAGTGGCTTCCAACCTGCTCCGACAAGAGGAGTCCTGCTTCCTTCTGGAAATGGTCGCAATCCTGCAAATGAGCAGAGCAGTTATTTTAGGATTTGGTCAACTGGGAAAATTCAGAGTGATGAAAAACAAGGGCTTTAGCACGGCTGAAAAGGAGCAGCCCTCCTCCTCCAGACATTACTTACACAGGCGGCAGACGGTATTTGGTGTGCAAATAGACACAGGGACTTCTTGCAATAACTTAGCAGCCCATGCACAGGTAACAACTGGCTGAGACCATCCTGCCAGAGTGGTTCAGAGACGGGGACATCTCCAAAGTCAGTCCAGGACATGGGAGAAAAGAGCACTTAAATTCACAGTAGCACATGCCTACAATCCCAGCAGTCTGAGAGGTGGAGGCAGGAGAATCACAAGTTCAAAGCCAGCCTCAGCCATTTAGCGAGGCTCTAGAAACTTAGCAAGACCCTATCTCAAAATAAAACATAAAAAAGGGCTGGGGATGTGGCTCAGTGATGGAGTGTCCTTAGGTTTAACATCTGGTATCAAAAAAATATATATATTTTGAACTTGCAATCCTTCTGCCTCAGCTTCCCAAGTAGTTAGAGTTACAGGCGTGCTTCTCTGTACCAGGTTTTAAAAAAAAAAAATTTTAGTGGGGTGCAGTGGTGCACACCTACAATCCAACGACTTGACTCACGCAGGAAGATAGATGGACACCAGCCTCAGCAATTTAGTGAGACCCTCTGCAACGTGGCAAGACCCTGTCTCAAAACACAAAAGGGACTGAGAGTGTAGCGGTGGTAGAGCACCCTGGGTTTAATCCCTAGTACTGCTAAATAAATAAAAAGGACTTTTCTGTCCCAACCAACCACTCCCTTCTCTATCCTGAACACAGAGCTATCAGAGCACTTCTCCATTTACTTAAAAGCATGTCTTTCTTGCTATTAAACTCTAACACGTTGGAAGGGACCAGGGTTTGTCCCTATTTCCTCCTGACCCCAGCAACCAACACACAGACTGGCCCGCCATTGACACTCATTAAATGCTGACCAACTGCACAAAGGGACCCCGCCTACAAAATCTTATGCTTTCATTAGGGAGAAAATCATCGACGTAAAAATAAACAATATGATCCCCGTCGTCTAGAAACAAAGCCTGACTTCTATAAAGCTGCAGGGAACAAAGGGATCTGTTGAAATCACACACGTTTCCATCCCAGGGCTGAGGGTCTCTGCCGGCAATGGGATATGCCCGCGTGAAAAAGAGCTGCGGAACCAGGCCCTGCGTGGCCCACGGCAGCTGAGGGACGGTCAGTGCCGCAGGGAGAGGGCAGAACATATGAGATGAGTCACAATGTGCATGTCATCCTTGCTCAAGGTGAAATGGGATTGTTGGGTAACAATAGGAACCATGTCACAAGGAGCCTGGCATGTGTTTCTGGCGGGTGGGGCCATGCTGTGGGGTTCAGAGGATGGAGAGAGGGAGGAAGGGCTTGGGTTGCCGGTCAGGACTGGTGTGGTGAGAGAGTGGGAAAGTCTAGAGCCCAGAGCCCCTTGGGCTGCTCCTGGTTGAGGGCCCCGTGTTCAGGATGGAGGGTGCTGAGTGCTTGCCTAACGCAGACGAAGACCTGCCTTCCATCCCCAGAACTGTCAAAATGGAACCTTGTGTTCAGAGTTGGCTTCTAGCTGCCCTGAACTGACCTCCACCTGAATGAGCAATTACAAGTCTGGGTTTCTGGTAACTTTTTTATTATTAGACAAATAACATGCTTCCCCTAAAAGAGAAGAGAAAATGCGGGAAGGAGCTGGGGGAGCACACCTATAATCTAGCTACTGGAGAGGCTGAGGCAGGAGGATCAGGAGTTTGAGGCCAGCCTCAGCAATGTAGTGAAACCCTGTCTCAAAATAAATGCAGCTCAGTGGTAGAACACCCCTGGGTTCAATCCCCAGTACTCCCCCTGCCCCACGAAATAAAAGAAAAGGAAGAAATTAATATAATCAGAGGGAAAAAATCTATAATCTATAATCCCATTTCCCCAGAAAAGCCAGTCAGTATGTGGATGTCCACCTACCCACCCATCTGTCCAACCTTCTATTTGCTCATGCAACCCCCCACCTACCGATCCAACTGCCATCTACTTGTCCAGCTCTCTGTCTGCATCAGAGTGCTCTAGTTCAGATGACAGAATCCACTCTGACAGAAATCTATGGCTGGCCAGGTGTCATGGAGCTCCCTGACAATCCCAGCCTTTTGGGAGGCTGAGGCAGGAGGATCACAAGTTCAAGTCCAGCCTAGCAAGACCCTGTTTCAAATTAAAATAAAAAAGGGCTGAGATGGAGCCCTGCTGGGAGCCATTAGCCAAGTAGGTATGACAATTTCCTTGCCAGCGTACCCCATGTTGCTGACATGTTGCAGTGACATTGAATGTAGGTGACCTTGCTCAAGGACCAAGGCAGATTAGGGTGTTCCCGGTTTTAAGATAATCGTGCGGCAGAGCCCAATGGTAGAGACCTGGTTCAATCCCCAGTACCAGGGGGAAAAAATGCAGCCACCTCTCAGCTAAAACTCTGGAACTTACCTCATCCCTCTCACCAACAAACATGGTGGAAATTAAACTCCAGAATTTTCCCCGTGTGGCTCCTGTGGCTTTAAAGATGCTGCCTTGGGCTCCTCTTTCCACGAAGCCTGCATCGCTGTGGCTCTTTTCCAAATCAGTCTCACATGGATGCATCTGACTGGTGGAACCTAGGTCACCCGCCTACACCGTGGCTGCTGCAGTGTGTGGGAGAGGACATTTCTGTCCTTTACTTTGGGGAAGTGGGATTTATGATGTGGGGAAAACCCATAAACAGGAAAGGTGCTGGTGATCATAAGGCATGGCAAATGTCCCCTGTACTACAGATTTTTTTTTCCTTCTTACAAATATGGAATGATATGACTTAACCATTCTGTGACGGTGTTGCCCAGCTCAGCGCCTGGCACACAGTAGGAACTCCACACTCCAGCAAGAAAGGGGAGAGGGAGCAGCGGGGAGACAGTGCAGATTTACAGGCCATTCGGAGGTTTGCTCTTTGAGTTGGTGTGGATTATGGAGGAAGGGGACTCCCTCTCCCTGCAGGGAAGCACAGAGTCATCCCGTCCTCCCTCCCCACCGCGAGTGCTCTCCAGACACCTCTGCCTGCTGGCCTGCAGCATGTGGACCATGCAAAAGGTTCAGTGCCACCAGGCGCAGGGGCTCATGCCTGTAATCCCAGCAGTTTGGGAGGCTGAGGCAGGAGGATCACAAATTTGAGGACAGTCTCAGCAATTTAGCAAGGCCCTAAGCAACTTAGTGAGACACTGTCTCAAAGAATAAAGTGGCTGAGGATGGTAAAGCACCTCTGGGTTCAATCCCTGGTACACACACACACACACACACACCAAAAAAATAACTCTGTGTCCCAAGTAGTCGCTCTGTAGCCCACCAGTTGGTTTACAGTCACTCAGGCTGTCTGGAATTTCTTCCCTCCCCAATCTCAGGAAGTGTTTGATGAGGTTTTACTCTCACTGGGAAGGCACAATAGAGGCTTCCCAGGATGGCCATGTTGATGAAGATCACTGTCACCCCAATTCAAGTGCATATGTTAAAATCTGTTTTGTTCTTTAAGGTCAGGATGAGCCATCACAGACTTATAATATGGGCTCTGCCTTTTGGAAGTTTATATTGTACATTAATTGGTAAGAAGCAAGATACACACAGTTAAATGTCACGGCAGATCTCTTGGTTCCAGATGAAGTGGGAAAATGTGTTTCCAAGGATTAGGGAAGGGTCAGATTCATAGCAAGCTAAGGAACAGAGGCTGCTAAAAAGGGAGGAGGGATGGGGTGGCACAGGCCTGTAATCCCAGCAACTCCAGAGGCTGAGGCAGGAGGATGGCAAATTCAAGGCCAGCCTCAGCAGTATAGCTAACTCTGCCTTTTGTTTTTGTTTTTGGTACTGGGGTTTGAACTCAGGGGTACTTTACTACTGAGCTCCATCCCCAGTCTTTTTTTTTTTTTTTGAGACAAGGTCTTACTAAACTGCTGAGGCTGGCCTCAAATTTGCAGTCCTCCTGCTTCAGCTTCGTGTGTGCTGGGATTGCAGGCCTGTGTCACCTCTGTCAGACTGAAATTCTGTCTTAAAAAACAAAAAGATCTGGGGAGGTAGCAATATAGCTCAGATTTAGAGCACCCCTGGGTTCAATCCCCACTACCAAAATAATTTAATTAATTCATTCATTAAAAAGTGGGGTCGTTGAGGGGTGAAGTGGATAAGGCATGATTTGTGACCAGGGCAAAGCTGCATTCTGCCCCCAGCCCCCAGCCAGTCTCTCCCAACCAGGTGAGATCTTGTAGCATCACCTTGCTAATTATTGCTGAATTCCATGTGGGTGACGATCTGACCCACATCTGCTACCTCTAGTCTAAAAGGCACTTGTCATTGTGTCCTAGACCGAGGATGGGTGGACAGGGTCCGGAAAACACCAGGTTAGGGCAGGCTGTAGGGCGGGAGAGGCGGAGACCGGTCACAAAGACAATCCGCAGCCCTCCTCCTCCCCCTCCCCCAGGGAGGAGCAGCTGATGGGTTTCTGGAGGTTTCCAATCCAATTAGTGCCCCCTCCCTCCTGGATGGGGGACCGAGCCACCACGCCCTTCCCCGAGGTGGAGGCTGGCTGGGGAGGGGTTGCCGGAGGTCTGCGCATCCTGACCGGCTCCTCCTGGCACAGGCGGGCTCGCTGCTACCCAGAGGCTGCTATGACGGCGCCCGTTTCTAGGCGACTGTTCTGGGGAATGGTCTGTTTTGGCAACCGCAGGGCCCCTGGGTAAGGGGGGCCGCAGGCCGCGGAGCCATTTGCATAGCAACCTCGTCCCTCCCCGAGCTGCGCGCTCCTCTGCGACCAGGGGCCCCGCGCCCCAGCCCCTCGGCCTCGCCTCGCCCCGCCCTGCGACTCCGCACGCCCTGGTCGCCGCCGTGTCCACCGGGAGCGCAGGCTGCACGCCGGAGAGGCTGGTGCCCTGGGGAAGCGGGGAGGGATGCTGGGGACCCACACGGAGCTGGGGGAGGGGACTGAAATACCAGCTTTCCCAAACCAGAGTCACAGTCACCGGGCTGCGGAGCCCCCAGACGCATTCGGGATGGGGGTCCGGCTCGCGGACTGTTTATTTAGGCAAACTCACAGCGAAGCCCGGGGGTGGGGTGGGGAACCCAGAAAATGCCTCTGGACCATTCCACCGCAAACCTGCGTTCGACTTTGGAAATGGGAAGGCAAGAAGGATTTCTTACCTAGAAATAGCAGGCGGTGATGGGCTTAGGCAATACTCCGAAATACTGAACAGGGGACTTGGGGACAGAATATTCTCTGAATTTGTGGGAAGAAATCGAAAGAGAAAACACACGGAAACCCGGCGTCCCCGCTCCTGCGCACGCCCACCCCACCCCACCCCACCCAGCACCCGCGGGAGCCCACGATGCCAACCCAGATACCAGGGCTCAGACAGGCGGACGACATCCACCGCCCAAGGACACATGCTCGGAGCTGGAACCCGAGAGGGGGTTGGGCAGGGGCAGGTCACCCCAGCTGAGCGATCACATTTCCCTGGCAGCTGTCCAAGGGGCAGCTCCCAGCTGCACCTGTTTGTGGGGCGATTTGCTTTTATCAGTATTGACACAGGGGCAGGGCCGCGGAATAGCATAGTAATAAATAAAGGAGAGCTGGGGGCGGGGTGGGGGGCAGAGCCACCGAGGCGAGGCGAAAGTGCTGAGGTGGATTTTTGCTTGTATGTCAGCATGTTCAGTCCGGCTCCCCACCCCTGGAACCTCGGAGCAAAAGAGCAGGCTTGGCATCGAGGGAGCCCCGGGTCTTAAAGAGATAGTCCAGAGCGCCTTGCCATCCATTGTGCCAGGCGTCCCTACCCAACAGACCCCCAAGGTTGTCTGCGACCCTCACCTGCCACTTAAGGTTTGTCAGGAACCTCCGCAGGAAGGGAGTTTCTTCCTCATTCTGCCAAGTTTAGCATCCAGGAGGCAACTGTGATTAAAGTGTGGGTTTTGGAGTTTTACAAACTTAGGATCATCCTGGCTCTGACGAGCTGTGTGATTTGGGAGATGTTAACTAACAGCTCTGAGTCTCAATTTCTACCCAGAGGGGGGAAAAAAAGGAGAAAATAGCATTTATCATTGCAAAGATATAAAAGCTGATCTAGCAAGGCCCCAGGGTCATTCCCCATGAGGTGTCCTCTTGGTTCCTCGCCTATCAGCCACTGGTCTGGTATTTGTTTTGCAAACCAAAACAAATCTGGGGTATCATCCATTCCAGAAAAGGGAGAGGGGAAGCAAGAGCTGATTCTCTGGCCCTCTGGTGAGGCCAAATGTGGCCCTGGGTTTCTGCAGCCTTGAAAGTCTTCAGGGGGCTGCAGGCTGAGCCACCTCTGCTCTAGTACAGCATGGTACAGTAAGATGTCAACAAACCTGTTCCTCAAAAGCCACCTGACCAAGCCCAGAGATAAACTGCATTTGTAAAAATTACGATCAATGAGTCACTAACATTCAGGCAGGAAGGCGGGTCTCCAAGGGCTAGGGTATCCGTTAAGAAAATGGCTCCAGCTGTCAGCCTGCTGGGCTCTACCCCAGCCCGGACACCTGCCGCTCTTGTGCCTGTGGCAGGTTATTTCACCTTCATTAGCCTGGCTCTCCTCGTCGTTAGGTGGAGATAATAACACACCAGAAGCTTGTTTTCCGGATTCAGTGCGTGGAAGGCCTGTGGTGAGCGCCTGACACGGAGAAAGTCCCCTTGGCACGTGGAGTCATGACTGTTTATTTAGGAGCACGAGAGCAGGGGCCTCCTCCCATTCATTTCTGCATCCCCAGATCTTCGAATAAAACCCAGCACTTGGGGGGCTGGGGCTATGGCTCAGTTGGTAGAGAGCTTGCCGCACATGCACAAGGCCCTGGGTTTGATCCCCAGCACTGGACAGCCTACCATTCAATGAACAAATGGCCTTAAAGGAGTTAAACTTCTCTTGGAAGAGACTCTGACTACCTATCCCATCCACACAGGGGAGACAACAGAGGGTTAAAAGCCACTCAGCTGGTCCCCAGGCCCCAGAGGCAGGCAGTCCCTTTGATCCCTCAGTTTCATCTATCCAGGATGCTTTCAAGAGAGGAAAACAGGAAGCGTCCCTGATAGCCTAGCTGACTCCCTTTTTTTTTTTTTTTTTAACGGTGAGAAGTGGGAGGAGGATGGTCCTTTGGGTCACATTTTTGCCAGGAAATCAGCCTCCTTCCTTTCAAATGCTGGAGCTTCCAAGGGGGCAGATAAATAGCTTCTTGCTTGAAGAAGAGAGAAGGATGTGGTTCTCAAAGACCAGATCCTTGGTGGACCCCATTCCTCTGCCAGACCCCGGGTGGTTTAGGACATCCAGTGCTCTGACTTCGCTCACTCACTGTTGACTGACTGCCTGGCCGTGGGCTGGACCCTGGGGTTTGGGCTCAGCACCTGGTGGCCAGGGCATCAGCACACCAAAAAGACAGGGCAGTCAGGTCAGAGAAGATGGGCGAACAAAGAAAAGTAGCATCTAAAGGAGAAAACAGGAGGTACGGGGAAACAGTTGTAGGAAAGAGAAGCCAGAAGGAACAAGAGGGAAAACCCCAGAGAAGAGTGAGTACATAGGAAAGAGGCGAGCAGGCTTCTAGGGATTCGCAACCAGGGTGAGTAAGAGCCTCAGAACAGAAGCACATGCAACAGAAAGCCGTATGCTCCAGGGACCCACAAAGATGGCAGAAGAGGAGAGGGTCAGAAAGAAAAATATTAGCTGGGTGTGGTGGCGCACGCTTGGAATCCCCGCTACTCGGGAGGCTGAGACAGGAGGATCGTCAATTTTGGCAAGATCCTGTCTCAAAATAAAAAATAAAAAGAACTGGAGAGGTAGCTCAGTAGTAAAGCGCCCCTGGATTCAATTCCCAGTAACAAAAAGAGAAAGAGGGAGAGGAAGGAGGGAGGGAAACAGTTCAAGGCTTTAGATCTTAGCAGGGCGCGGTAGCGCATTGCCTGAATCCTAACAATTTGGTGAGGCTGAGGCAAGAAGATTGCAAGTTCGAGGCCAGCCTCAGCAATTTAGTGAGGACCTCAACAACTTAGCTACACCCTGTCTCAAAATGAAAAAAATAATAAGGGCTGGGATGTGGTTCAATCCCCGATACCAAAGAGAGAACTAGTCAGGTGCTGTAGGCACTCCTGTCATCCCAGGACTGGAAATTCAAAGCAGCCGATGCAATTTAGTGAGACCCGATCTCAACACAAAATAAAAAGAGCTGGAGGTATAGCTTAGTAGTAGAAGAGAACTAACTAGACTAGCATTTCTAAGACCCTGGATTCAATCCTCAGCACCACTAATAATAACAATTAAAAAAAAAAAGTCAAGTGGGTGAGCAGGTGGCGGTAGAAATGAAACAGAAAAAGTCAGAATGATGATCACTGAAATTGGGCAATGAAAACATGGATGTGCAGTACACTCCTTTTACACTGTGGTTTTCTTTGTTCCTTTTGCTACTGGGGATTGAACTCAGGGGTACTTTACCATTGAGCTACATCCCCAGGCCTTTTCTTTCTTTTTTTTTTTTTTTTGAGACAGGGTTTCACTAAATTGCTGAGGCTGTCCTTGAACTTGCAGCCTCAAATTTGTGATCCTCCTGCCTCAGCCTCCCAAGTCCCCATACTACCATGCCTGGCTCATTATATTGTCTTGTTAACTGAATTTGGGGAAAATTTCCATAACAACAACAACAAAATGTTTTCAAAATTATCCCGCAGGCAATTCAGCAAGATCTTAGAGCTAGAGATGTGGCCTAGTGGTAAAGCTCTCTTGGATTTGGTCCCCTGTACCGCAAAAACAAAATAAAATAAAGATAAATAAAATAAAAAGAGCTTGGGGTTGTAGTTTGGGTGTATAGAGCGCCTCTGGGTTCAACCCCCAGTGCCAGATAAA